CTTTAGCCAATGGAACTTCCAAAAGAAGATCCCTCAACCACTCTGCCTCTTGACTAGCGGAAGCGAGAGCCACGAATTCTGATTCCATGGTCGAAAGAGTAATGCATGTTTGTTTCTTGCTCTTCCAGGAAATTGCTCCTCCAGCTAGTGTAAATATCCACCCAGTTGTAGATTTGTGATTTCCCACGTCAGAGATCCAACTGGCATCGGTATATCCTTCTAGTATAGCAGGAAACCTACCATAATGAAGACCAAGATCTTTGGTTTTCAACAAATAACCAAATATCCTCGTGATTGCCTTCCAATGTTCATTACTTGGATTACTAGTAAATCTACTCATTTTACTAACTGCAAATGATATATCGGGTCTAGTACATTGCATTAAGTACATAAGACATCCGATCGCACTTGCATATTCTAATTGAGCCACTGCTCTTCCATCATTCTTTTCAAGTTTGATTACATGATCAAATGGAGTAGTTACTTCCTTGAATTTCAGGTGTTTGAACTTATCAAGCATTTTCTCAATATACTGTGTTTGATTAAGTTCATAACCCCCACTATTTTGCTTAACTTTTATTCCTAAAATTGTGTCAACAAGCCCAAGATCTTTCATCTTGAAAGTGGAAGTTAGAAACCTTTTTGTTTCTAGAATTCCATTAAGTCTATTGCTAATTATTAGCATGTCATCAACATAAAGACACAAAAATATTACAGTGTTATTATACACTTTTGTATATAAACACTTGTCACAAGAATTAGGAATAAATCCATTTGACATTATCGTAGAGTCAAACTTTTGATGCCATTGTTTTGGTGCTTGTTTTAAGCCATATAGAGATTTGACAAGTTTGCACACCTTCTGTTCATTTCCAGGAAGGACGTGTCCTTCTGGTTGTTCCATGTAGATTTCCTCATCGAGGTCTCCGTTTAGGAATGCTGTTTTAACATCCATTTGATGAACAATCAGATCATTTAAAGATGCTAAAGCAAACAACAACCTTATAGTGGTTGTTCTCGCTACAGGTGCATAAGTGTCAAAATAATCTATACCTTCCTTTTGTCTAAATCCTTTTGCCACTAATCTTGCTTTATAAGTGTTTAATGTACCATCACTATGATATTTCTTTTTAAACACCCACTTGCATCCAATGGGTCTTGATCCCTTTGGTAAATCAACAAGTTCCCAAGTGTGGTTGGACATAATTGAATCCATTTCATCTCGGATAGCATCTTTCCAAAAGGAGGAGTCTCTTGAAGCTATTGCTTCCTTATAAGTTTTAGGATCTTCCCCTACTTGAAGAATTACCGGAATGCTTTTAATAAAATTTGTACTATTTCCTTCAACCAGATAAAATGAAATGGATTGAGAATCAATTTCGTCTGGTCCTAGGTTCTTTATTTTCCGGACTCTTTTGCTTATCCTAGGTTCGGGTCGTGGTTCATTTATTCGAGATGTGTCTTCAGGTTGTATTTCTACAATCCGAGAAGAGTCCTTTTCACAAGATTCTTTGTTTATGGCCGACTCTGATTCTTTATCCTTAGTTATAAGGTTTTCAAAGAATTCTACATCCCGGGATTCAACAATAATATTAGACTCTAAATTTAACAGTCTATATGCTTTGCTATTTTGTGCATATCCTACAAATGCACATCTTATCCCTCGAGGACCCAACTTGGTTCTCTTAGGATCCATGTTTTTGTAATATGCCACACACCCCCACACCTTAAAGTAGCCAATATTTGGTGTCATGCCCTTCCATACCTCATATGGAGAAATTCCACTTTTCTTTAAGGGAATTCTATTTATTATGTGACAAGCGGATAATAAAGCTTCGCCCCACAAATTGAAAGGTAGTTCGGAATGCAATAACATGGCATTCATCATTTCTTGATATGTTCGATTCTTTCTTTCTGCTATGCCATTTTGTTGTGGTGTTCTAGGTGCCGAACATTCATGTATTATACCATGTTCTTCACAAAATGCATCAAATTCAGTGGAGAAGTATTCACCGCCCCTATCACTCCTAAGGACTTTTATACTTCTACTTAATTGATTTTCCACTTCTGCTTTGTAACTCTTAAAGGCATTAAAAGCCTCATCTTTATGCTTTAAGATATATACATAAGTGTATCTAGAACAATCATCAATAAATGTAATGAAATATCTATTTCCCCCACGGGTCAACATGCCATTAAATTCGCACAAATCTGAATGTACAAGATCAAGCAGATTTGTATTTCTTTCAACACTTTTGAAAGGTTTCTTAATCATTTTTGATTTAACACATAATTCACATTTATTGAAATCTTTGATATTACATGATATCAAGCCAAGTTTAATTAGTCTCTTCATTGAACTAATACCAATATGTGCTAATCTATTGTGCCATAAAGTAACTGAATCAAGCATGTAAGCAGAATTAGAAATTTCATTAATCATGTTATCAGTAATACATAGTTTGATCATTCCTTCAGCGGAATATCCTTTTCCAACAAACACACCATTACGGGTCAAGATAAGTTTGCCCGATTCATACACAGATTTAATACCCGGTTTTCCCAATAAATCCCCACTAACAAGATTCCTATTCATGTGTGGGACATGAAGTACATTAACAAGAGTAACTTTCTTTCCAGAAGTGAAGTTGAGTTCGACCGTTCCGGTTCCAACAACTTTGGATCGCACTTCATTTCCCATTTGTACTTCTTGTCCATCATTTGCCTCAGAATATGTTTTGAATGCAGCCCTGTCATATGAGACATGAACCGTGGCACATGTATCATACCACCAGCCTTGGACCTTGCCTTTGATTGCCATAATTTCGCTCACAGTAGCAATTATATCATCATTAGCATTCACTGCATTGATCTCCTTTTTTGATTTATTATGCCTGCAATCTCGAGCATAATGTCCAGGTTTTCCACATACAAAGCATCCATTTTTCGGACCCTTCGGACCACCGAAGTTCTTGAACTTGGTATGTTCCTTTTTTGGTGCGATGTGACTTTTCTTGACATCATGTTTTTTCTTTTCCTTTCTGGTCACAGCATTGGCTTTGGAAAGACCCGCAGATTCTGATTTTTCCCTCTCCTTCGATTCCTCCTCGATTTGAAGATGCTTCTGGATTTTCTCCAAGGAAAAGTCATCAGAACTGTGCAACAGTTTCTTTTTATAGCCTTTCCACGAACTTGGTAACTTCGCAATGATTGCACCAACTTGAAAGGTTTCAGGAATGTCTATTTTCACCGCTTTGATTTTGTTCACCAGGACTTGCAATTCATGCACTTGAGGAAGTATGGGCTTGGAATCTATAAATTTAAAATCAAAGTATTTAGAAATTAAGAACTTTTTCGTACCTTCTTCTTCGGCTTTGAATTTAAACTCCAGGGAATTCCATATGTCTCTAGCGGACGGATTGTCTGTGTATAAGTCGTATAGGCGGTCAGATAGCGTATTCAGAATATGCCCACGGCATAGTAATTCGTCCTCCCTTCGCAGCATGCGCTTCTTCTTGAGTTCGTCAGAATCATCTGCAGTTGGTTCTGGAATTGGTGTCAGATTGGGATCCAAGACGTAGTGAACCTTGAGTGCAGTAAGCAGGAACGTCATCTTGTCTTGCCATCTGGTAAAGTTGTTTCCATCGAAACGATCCAATTTGACAAGGTCCTGATTCATAACTTTGATACTTGAAACAGCAGCGTCGGAATCCATGATACAAATACTTTTAAGATTGTTAGATAATCCTTCTATGTCGAATGGATCCAGACTGAATCGTGAACGAAATCACTTTCCTTAAAAGTATTTCAAGCACACTCTCAGATTGTCTTAGAGTTGGAACGGCCTGAATACCCAGGATAAGTCAGCCTTTTTTCTCGAAACTGCACAAGACTGATGAAGTTTCGAATGCAAGGAAAATGTTGGAATTATATGGAAGAGGATTTCAGAATTTGGAGTGAATGATTTCGAATTATGAAGCATATATTTATAGCCATGCATGTGTCTTTTCAGAAGTTTGCAATTCTTCATAAACACACTCTCTAATGAGCATTTGCAATGGTTCACATAAAATATCATGCACCACTTCGTCAAGTGTCATGTATTTCAAATTCAAATTCAAAATCAAACTCTAGGCAACGAATAAGTCTGAGCGATAATTAAAAATTAAATTCGCAGTATACCGGCCGAAGGCCGGTCCGCCCGCCGGAGGCGGCCGGAGCGCCACCGGCGCCGCGAATAGCCTAAGTGCTCAAGTGCCGTCTACAAGCCGCCACTAGCGCCTCTACGCCCACGCCCCCGGATCCGGTTCCGGAGCCGGAGCCGGAGCCGGTGTCGCCGGTGGCGACACCGGCGAGGGGTGTTTTGTATGAGACAAGTGACATAAGTTTTGGCACCACCACATGTGACTATGTGGCACTTTATCCTTTTTGGCTCTTTTGGAAATTACATTGTTTCAAGTGCCTTATAAATGCTATTTAATTTTACTCCTCTTCCAATGTGTGACTAAGCATTTATTATAACACCCACTTTGTCATTTTGGAACAACTTTAATGGAAATAAATTATTATTTCCAACAAAGATGGGGACCAATGTTTGGGTAAAAATGTCACCATGATAAAATATACTAACTCTCCCAACAATGGAAATTCAACCTTTCTTTTGTGTCAGTTCTTGGCTAACCCCAAACTACAATATGCAACAGATGAATGACAGAGACATGTAACAAAAGTTTAAGAAAAATGCCACAGAAACTGTAAAAGTTACATTCCATATTAAGTTATATATAGTTTTGTTTTCATCACACAAAACCACACACATATATATAATGCAATTCACAATATTTCACACACTAATCCTTCATAACAGGATATATAAGAATCTTTCACACTAACATGTCTTAGGATTTTATAAATTGTCACAATAATAAAAAATAATAAAAGCTTCATATAACCATTTTCACACCATAGATGGATAAATGTGTGACCATTATTGATATTGCCTAGTTCCTGCTTTTACTTTTTTCAACTGCTCTAGGGGCTGCAAAATAGTTTATCAAGTGAAAAAAATATCATTTAGATTATTAAGCATGTAATTTAAATTTTATGATTGATAGTGTTGAATGAATGAAATACTAGTACTAACCTAGACCGATCGCATCGGAGCTTTTCATGATCCTTAGCCTCCTGCATGTATCGATAAACATCCTGCAAAGAGTTCCGATAATAAAATGTTACTAGTGTTGAGGTATCAGTGTTAGAGGTTATTCATCGCATAAAATAAAAACTATTAGTGTTGAGGTATCAGTGTCGTGTCTATGTATGTGTCAGAGCTTATTAATCGCATAAAAGAAAAACTACTAGTGTTGAGGTATCAATGTCGTGTCTGTGCCTGTGTTAGAGCTTAGTAATTGCGTAAAAGAAAAACAAGGACGTAAACTTACTCCCAAGGAACATCACCCACAAGCATCCAGTCACCATCTTTATCCTCGTACGTAATAACATATTCTGACCCATGAAGCAGATCTCTCAGCTTTGTTTCATTCAGCATCTGATTTCCATGAGATTCACATTGTCCTGAAATAACATCGACATAAGCAGTAACTTGATCCAGACACGAAAATTACCTCAAATCATTGAAACACTTTTTTTTCCCTTTTAAAGAATGAACCTATTCCTACCTACCTATGGTGAAACAGCTGAACATCTTCTCAAGAGAAGAAGATAGTTCTGAATATGCAGTGTAGTTCTTCAAATCTACTTTTCTCAAATAAGGAGCACCGTCCATGCTAACCTTCACAAACACGGCGCCTCCTAATCCCAATTTTCCATCAACCTCTTCCGTGTTCTTTGAAGCAGTTGTCAATGAATTTTTCCGAAATGATCTTATTGGAGGCCAACCAACAACCTGTGCCCTGCCACACAAGATTCACCATCATCATCATTAGAGTTCATTTCCAATGTTAAAGGCTAAACCAAGGCTTCAAGTAAAAGTTCATCACCGCAATTCGGGTAACAACATCATGGTTTTTGATGTCTGTCACCTGGGCCGTCTTTGAGGGTCTGCAAGGCAGAGTACCACACAGGGCCCAAAATTTAATACAGTTAAACCGTGGCTAAAAAGGATTTCATAAAATATTTTGTCACGATTATGACAAAATAGAGTCTCTATTTTCTGTCACTGCTAAATCATGGCTAACCTACACTAGACCTCCGAAAACTTAAGATGGTTGGTCTTTACAATCGTGATTCAAACTGCATAAACTGTATTGGTCGTTACAAACAATTTTTTTAATTCGCAACCACGACATCATGGTTTTTTATGATGCCGCAACCGCAATGCTAATGCAACTGCAAATCAGGCTGCATTAGTCACATTTGACCGCGATTCTTCACACTATCAAAAAACACAACGTGACCTAAATTTAAAACATCGAACCAAATTCTAATGCCATTTCCTACCACCTTACTTACTTGGTAGCTGGAGCAATGCTATTTCCATTATTTGCAGAACCATTAAGATTTGGTCTGCTTTCACCGACACCGTTTGGCCTCTCAAGACCAACCTTAACTGTTGCTATTTCATTGCCCCCTTGCAGCGCCGCAACATTCTCAAGCATATTGGAGCCCGGCTTCATTTTCCCCTGCATACAAAATTCGAAATCAACTTTAATCGCTAGTACCATCTTACATTTTTTTCGAAAAGTAGATCATAGATAACTCTAAACTATGTTCCGCAACCGCAATTGCAGCTGCATCAACAACTCTCCGGGCATGTAAGGCAGACTACCGCACAGGGTCCAAAGTTTGACACGTTTAAACCATGGCTAAAGTCTCATAAAATATTTGTAACAGTTAAACCGGCTTACATACACAACATAACTCCAACGTTTCCAACGGCCACCGCAATTGCAATTTAAAACTATCAAACTCAAACCCTTTTTTGCCTTTGGATTGAATGGACAATTTACCTCTGAGAAAACATTCATGGCATCAGAAAACCCTCGTTTGTTACCTAAAACAGCATACTTTGATTCATCTTTTTGAGGATGCAAAGGAAAAAGAGGCTTTTCATCAAAACTTCTCAAACAAAAATCCGAACAATCCCTTTCCGGAGACACTGATCCAGGAAGTCCCAATCTAAGCTCAGTAGCTTTAAGATTCAAGTTTCTCTTGCCCCCATCTTCAAAAGATTGAATCTTTGTAACCAAACTATCCACTGATGATGCAGAATCACAAGATAACCCCATGTAGTTAAACTCTTTTGGCTTTGAACCATTCAAATTCAAACACACACTTTTTTCCATTGAGGTTGATGAAGAAACCAACAAAGCAACATTGCTTTCACCTTCATCATCACCTATTCCTAGCTTTGGTAGAGTCATCACAATGAATTCAAACTTTCAAACAAGTAAAAAGCTTTCAATATAACCTATCAAAAAAATAAACAACATTTGTCATTGTTCCTAAACCAACAACTTAGAAAAAAAAACAAAAACATAGGAAAAAGGAAAAACATAGATGGAATGTTTCATTAGTTTTTTGTGTGACATATTAAACGAAAGATGAAAAATGTTACCTTAAGAATGAGCAAGACTAGAAGGATGAAGAAGAAGAAGAGTGAGAGTGATTAGAGAATTTGGTTGAGGGAAGAACAAAGAGAAAGAAGAGCAGAAACAAAACTAAGGACCCTCCATTTGTCACAAAGTAACATAAACTTGACACCATGCATTAAAAAATGATAAGACTTTAATTTAAAGAAAAGAAAGTGTTTCAACAAAAACACTAATCTTTTATGTCAAAACAAAAACATTATACTCAATTATGGAACTTTTATTTTGTTTTTGTTTTAGAAAAATTGACCAACACTATCAAATCTCAAATGATAAACATAGAAAATTACTTTCAATAAAATATTATTTAGTTTTATGTATTGTCAATGTATATTAATATCTTTGTACAATAAGATTATTTGGTGCATTTTTTAAATTGTGTTATGCTTATACGACCCTCAATGTGAGAAACCATATATGCTAATACAAAATTGATGAACATTTAGTACCCTAGTACATTGTTAGTATTTGGAGTTAATTTGGTTACAAAAATCTTTTCGAATCCCTAAATCAAAAACATTTTCCTGCTTATTTTTTCATTCTTATTTCAATAGTATATGAGGGAAGGGTGACTCCTTAGCAGTGCCATGACCAGCCCAAATTTTTAATAAAATATTGGTTAGAAAAATTAAGAATTAATTGAAGTGTATAAGTTATATCTATACATTGAAACACTTTTTTCATTTTCATTTCATTTTTATTTTTCGTAATCTAGAGGGTTTGGTTTATGTCCGGTATTTATATATATATATATATATATATATATATATATATATATATATATATATATATATATATATATATATATATATATATATATATATATATATATATATATATATATATATATATATATATATATATATATATATATATATATATATATATATATATATATATATATATATATATATATATATTATATTAAAATGTTTTTTGAAATTCTCTCTTCTTTTTTTTTCTATCCGCAATTCATGCAACCCGTGAAAAATATAGGCTCTAATTTTAAGGTTCAATTCCTATGATTTATCATGTTTGGCGGGTCGTCCCATATGGATAAACTCATTTTAACAACTCTAGATACATCGCTCGATTTTGGAGTCAATTGTAAATTTTATTATATGGATTGATTCATGCGTTGAAGTATATAAGAACCTTTGTGTCAGATTCTTGTAGAGTGAGGTTTTTCACATTTCAGGAATTCGAGAAAATTGGTATAAATTTATCCAAGATAATTTTGATGTGTCTGAGTACATTACCCAATTGAAAGTCTTTTGGGATGAATTGGAGAATGATTGCTCCATTCTTACTTGTAGTTGTTGTATTCCTTGATCTTGTGACACCATTGCATATGTTAAAACCTATCATGAACAAGATTGTGTTATTTGTTTCCCCAAAGGGTTCAATGAACGATTTTCTCATTCAAAATCTCATATAATAATGATTAATCCATTATATATTAACAAAGTTTTTTTTATCTTGTCATCTAGAAAGAATGCGAGTTTTTTGGTTTCACCTTCAATTCTAAAATTAGTGATAATTGTGACTCTTCAACAGCTCTGCAAGTCAGATCCCCTTAAGGTAATTTCAATGGACAAAGTTTCCAATTTTTGAAAGTGTGAGGTCTAGGTTATGCAGCTCAGGCTAACAATCGTGTGTGCACACATTGTGGACGGACCAGCCATACAATTGAAACATGTTTTACAAATCATGACTAACCCCCCTCCAACTTTAAACCCCAACCTAAGAATCATACATGTTCTCCAAAAAAAATATAACTTCCAATGATGGCTTTACTCAAACAACTTCTAACCAACTATGATCATCACCTTCAGGCTCATATGGCTCCATACAAGATCATTACAACAATATTCTTACATTGGTTCAACAGTTAAATACCGCATCTCAGCCAACGACCAACTTTGTCACCATAACTTCCCTTTTCTTTAAATTCAATCATCTTTCCACTTAGGTAAGTCCTCAAATTATTAGATTTTAGATATCGATGCTACCAATACATAACCCTATTTTTATATTGTTATGATTCATATACGCATATCAACCTTGTCCATGCCAGTCTTCCAAATGGTACTCAAATTCATGCCTCAAATTCATGAACCATTGTTATCTCTGATTCATTAACATTACACAATGTCATATACATTCCTAATTTTTAAGTTCATCTAATCTCTGTTACCAAACTACTTAGTAACAATGATTTATTGATCAAGTCACTCCAAACACGAGAAGAGGTAAATTGTGATATTTGAAATTCGAAAAACAATGTATAAAAAATTTGATTATGAAAAATTTTATGTTAGTATAAACAAAAAAATACATGAATAGTAGCGGGAAAATGGAAAAAAGAGGGAAAGGCAGTGGAAAGAAAATAAAAGACTGAAAATAAATAAGATAATGTATAGAAAGATTGCATTAGATATTTATCATGGTTAGTCCTACAATACTTGGATTATTTCACTCCCCAAGAGTTTCTCCTTGATATTTCCTCTAAAATTAATTTTGAGCTTTTATAGGATTAACTCAAATAACTTTTAACTACAACTTGAGCTTTTATAGATGATCAGCCCACAAACCTTCTAACAACATCAAGAGCTTTTACACGTGCTTAGCTCAAGAACCTTCACCCAAATTTTTTCAGATTTATCTTTCCACCTTCAAATATTTTACAAATATATTACACAAGATTATCACACTCCTGAATAAAACAAATTTGATCACAGCACCAACACAACACTACTCTTAGAAGAAACTTTTCACTCTTTTGGCACTACAATAACTATAGTGAAAACAAGGTTTTTAAATTGAAAGAGAGTATAAATAATAGTAGAAAGGTTTCTATTCAGAAAAAATGGCGTATAATGAAACGAGGAGAAGTCTCATTTATATAAGAGAAAATTTGGCTTAAAAAGGAAACAATCCACGCGTTTTTTAATGGTTTAATCTATTGAACCAAGGTTAAACAATTAACCAACCCAAATTAGGAAGGTTTGAGTTTATAACTCACCTATTTGATTAACAACTTATTTAATTGATTAAAAGACCTTACAAGTAAGTTTAGTCAATTAGAGGAAGCTCTTAATTAATTAACTAGTGTAAATTACCTTTCTAATGGATTAACCAAGCTTCTAACCAATTAAGCACGTGCTCAAAATGGTTTTAAGAAATTTTATATAAAGAGAAAAAAATAATTAAAAATAATATTATGTGCATTGTCTTAGTACTTCAAGATGTACTCTTGTTCCTTTTATAATAAACGAATCAAGAATAGGAAAAACCCTAAATGCAAGAGCATACGAGCTTTCATACTTTCACAACTTAAAGATCATAGCTTATAGTATTTAAGTCCCTTGCTTGATTCAATGATGTTTATCCCTTTTAAATTGACCTTGGTATCTTTGACTGATGATACTTGTTGCATCTCATTTGGATGTCATCATCCGGAACCACTGGACTGTTTCAATCAACTCCTCATTTGACAGTTTTTACAAACAGATTATTGACTCATTAACATCAAACTTCATTTGATTTATGGAGTTTTCATCTATTAAACTATTTGACAGTAACCCTCTTCAAAACCAAATGACGATTTTACCAACACAACACATATATCCATATGATTGTAATCTAAATTGTCCTTATAATTTGTACAACATCACACTAAAATATTTCAAGAAAATGATTGGTATATTTAAGTTGCAAAGAGAATTGTATATGCTTAATCAACCTTTACTTGTTTCCCTTTATTCTATTTTTAATTTTGTTGTAAATAATAGCTCATCTCATCAATGTCATTTGAGACATGGCCATTTATCTGATATAGTTCAATAATATATTCCATAATAAATTTTATTTATTCAATATAAAATCAATTTACTTCTTTGTAATTCATGTCATTTTGCTTAACAAATGAAATTGCATTTTTCAACGAGTTTAAGTCATGTATTTGTACCTTTTGATATACTACATGATGACATGTGCGGCCTTTTTTCCGTTGTGTCCATTTTAGGCCATAAATACTTCCTCACCAATATAGATGACTATAGTCGACAGACATGGTTAAATTTACACTCGCCTAACTTTGTTTCCATACAAACACAAATTTCCCCCCAATTATTCGTGTTTTTCTCCTCCAAAGGGATTATTCACCAAAAATTTGTGTTGAGACACCTCAACAAAATGGAGTGATTGAGAGAAAACACCAACACATCCTTAACATAGCTAGATCCTTTTCTTTTCATTCCAATATTCCTTTATCCATTTGGAATTTTAGCATCCAACATTCAATTTATTTAATGAATATATTACATATCCTCTTACTCATCTTAAAATGTCCTCATGAAATCACGTTCAAAGAACCACTCCGTCATACATTCCACGATTTTATATTGTTTTACCTATGCCACAAGTTTACAAGTTCACAGATCAAAATTTGATCCTAAAGCTAGAAAACTTGTCTTTTTAGGCTTTAAATTTGGTACTAAAGTTTATATCTTATATGATATTCAATATAATTCCTTATTTGTCTTTAGAAATATTCTTTATTATGAAACTAACTTTCAATTTAAAGACATTACCAAGCCTAACTTCGGTCTTATTACCACTTCCCTAGTTGTCCTTGAACCCTCTATCGATATTGACATCTTTTCTCCTGCTGAGTCTAGTCACAATCCTACAACCATACATATGCATACTACTATACTTACCCATGTACCTACACAATCTTTTTCACCATTAACTAGCCCAACTCCTAC